TCCCTCTAATATCTAATATAATTTATAAACATAATTTGACACTCTTAAAAGAGCTGACTCCATACTGTGATGTTTCCTAAAACCAGACTGTTAAGATTCAAAGACTTCATTCGACTCTAAAAAAAATTAATAATTGGACAGAAACTACCTTCTCAAAGATTTTAGAAATAAAAGGTACATTTAGAAATTGGTCTAAAATTTGAGAGAACTGTCACATCAAGGTTAGATTTTTTTTCAACAGAGGATTGACAGTAGCATGCTTTAAATATTCTGGAACAAATCTGGAACAGAAAGACTCTTATTTACAGTATTTTTGATAGGATACATGGCCCTTAGGTTCTACCTTAGGTTTAAGTTGCTTGCTCCAAAATGGGGCAATAGAGTCTAAAATTTCAGTACAGGTAGAATTAAACAAAATAAGTTGCTGTTCAGCATCTAAGTTATTTGAGGGACAGTCAAGAGAGACTAACTTATAAGCCTCATCAAAATGGGAAGCAAAATCCTCACTAAAAGTATAGCTAAACATGCTTGACCAAACAATAGACTTCTTGGCTTTAACAACCTGATCTGACATAGAACAGGTGAACATCACAAAATAACATTACATTAATTCCTCATCGATGCATGTCACTCTCAGAGAAGTAAAACCACACTAAATTCCAATAATCATATTTTTGCTAACCTAGTCATCCTCTCGACCACAAAGAGTCAATTTTACTCTTGTCCGCAGCGAATTGTAACTGCTCTGGCCATTCAAAAAGTAAATACACCCAAACAAATTTACTGTTTTAACTATTGTCATGCCAATAAAGTACAAGCCAAATTGATTCTGTTCAACCATTATTAAAAGCTTTCTATTGTCTGTTCATCTCTATAGCCCTCTCAAACCATATATTACAGTCCAATGATGTCAGACTCTATCAGTTTCCACCTTTAGCTTCTGCTGTTCATCCAAGACTGTCTGATCCAATGTCCAATAACATCATTACCCACAGAGATGAATCAATACTTAAATCATGATTTGATCAAACAATTTCTAAGTCCAAAAGAACACTAAGGAATTTCAAGCAAAGCAGACTATACTTCGCAACGCTTGGACGGCTCTAAGAAATGAATCTACATGGATATGCAACCAACTGAGCCTGTTAGAGAGGCGAATATTGGATTGAACGAGAACCAGGCCATCCTGAAATTGAGTCTAGGAGAGGCATTAATGACTGAGCCACCAGCTTTAACTGTGTCATTTAATCCACAGATCACATAGATGGTCTAAATAGTCCTGAAGTGGGATTTTGGAGCTACTCTTCAAAGCAAAGCTTCGTATGACCTCATTACTTGTGATGAAAACTAGTCTTGGAAACTTTCTGCTAGACGTGTCTGGATGACTTTTTTTGGACATTTTAACCACAATACAACTAAAAACGCATGTTATATGATTCAACATCTAAAAAAATCCCAATAAACTAAATATTTATTATATATTATATTTATATATTTCCTATTATATATATATAATAGGAAAATCCAGACCATGTGGCGTTTCAGGTGCAATTTCCCTCACATTCAGTTCTACAGTAAACTTAAACAAAACAGGTTTTTAATGCCAGATGTCATGAAATAACCATCTCAGGCTCTACAGGGAACTTAATTTCCTTATGCTCTTTAGAAAATCATCCCATGGTGTTTTAAACTCAGAACTGTTTTGAATAAAGAGACATCGAAAACTGTTTTCAACTCTAAAGAACCATATAGACTCAACTCAAAAACCCTACACAGCCAATGTTGTTTTGGAGGTTTCTTCACTGAACCTCAGAATTACTGAAGTAGGTCCAAATATTTGTGCCTATTGTATAAAATACAGATGTAGATTTAATGTATAAAAACAAATGATGAATCAACACCCTAAACAAACAAACACTGGTTATTACACATTTGCATTTTACATTGTTTTAACCACTACAATGCCCATGCCACACTGGCAATCAATTTTGGCAATAAACACAAAAGAAATCTGCATAAATACTGTCAAATGAATCTGATGATTATGTGAGGCAGTGATTTACTCTATGCAAGAAAAATAACCAGCTCTCAACCTAACAATATATGTCACTAGTTGGTTCAAGCATATGCACACATGAAACCCTGAACCATTTGGGGGCCAAATTCTCCCAGCACTGAATTGAATTCTAGGCACATTAGGTTTCTGTTGTGTTCAACCACCAACTGTAAGACACCCAGAACCTGTAGCATTTGTGAGGGCCAAATTATCCGACATTCAGTTCTTGGCACATTTACAGTCTAAAATATAGAGTAAATTTAAAGATTTCCTGGTGCACCAAATATACTGGTTATTATGCATTTTTCATTGCAGTTGAATGCTTGAATTATAACAGTTATAGATTGCTACCTTGAGTTGTTTTTCATGGACATGTTCACCTTGGTGTGGATTTCATTTGGATTTACTGCCAAAAAAAATGATTGCCAATATGGCATGTATATTGCTTTGATAAAATAGTAAATGTATTGTAATTAACACATTAATATGGAAACAAAAGCATGAATATTATAACAGGTTAACATTATGGTACATTTTATTCTGTAGGTGTAGCTTTAACCTGTGGCATCTAGGGGACCGATTATCAGACATGAAATTCTAGACGTTTTGGTAATGTAAAAAAAAGTAAATGTAAATTTAATATAAAAATCATGTTGTTTGGTTAATTTTTCCATAAGTATAAACAGCAAACGGTGATGTGCGGATTCTAATGCCAATAAAATGTTTTTAATGACAATATGAATGCATTTATTCATTTAGCAATTAATCCAAATTAAACCCGTATGGAGACAAACGTTGTAACTTACCGCCAAATAAAGGTGATGATGAATTGAGAGCTCAAATAAACACACGAGGATGCTCGGAACAGCTGATGTGCGCAGCTGAGGGCCTATGTGCGGGTCCAGCGCGCTTCTTCCTCCTAAACCATCCGTCTCAACGGCTCCACAACCCGACCGAACCTCCCCGAACCAAGCCCAGCTGATATTTACTGCGCAGTGTCGATCTGCGTCTGTGCGCGCGGTCTGCCAGTCTGGATCCAGCCGCGTTCATCTCTTATTCATTTACAAAGAGCCCCATATTCGCTCAATGCCACCTTATACCCACCGAGAACACTCACACCGGAACAAAAACATGCGCATGGCCGGGCGTACAGCTTCATCTGAACGCGTAGTAGATGCGTTGTGGTGAACGTTACTTTGCATTTGTGTTGGATTAATTCCACGGGCTTTGCGTCTTTTTGTTTTGAGCATCCGCGCAGCTCACAAGAGGGAGGCGTTCACTCACACTGTTGTGATGTTCGATTCGCCAACGAGTCAACCTGGTGAACCGGTTCTTTTGAATGATTCGTTCGAAACGATTCGAATGGGGTGAGCAATGGGCTGTTCACACACATTTTATATACAGATAGATACCGATTTTATATATAAGATTTTTTCGTATAAGATCCCTGCTGAAAAAAAACAATCCCCAGCTAAAACCAGCCTAAGCTGATCGTCCAGCCTGGTCATAGCTGGTCAGCAGGCTGGTTTTAGAGGGGTTTTGGCCCCTTAGCTGGTCAGGCTGGGAGATCATCTGGACAACCAGCTAAAACCAGCTTGGCCAGGCTGAAAGACCAGCTAAAACCAGCCAACCAGCTTAGGTTTTTTTTTTTTCAGCAGGGAGAATTAAGCTAAATAAATAAAATAGTAAATAGTAAAATGCATTTTTAAACTGGATGCACCATCTTAAAAAAGACACCCCTGGTGAAATGCTAAAAACAGCAATAGCCAAAGGCATAAAAGAAAACTGCGCAGACAGAATGCAATAAAAATCTAAAAGGCACCACCTGTTAAATAAGCTGTAAACAGCCGTATTCTACCATACATGTATTTTACAACAAAAATTTAACATAAAATGCCACTCTGTCTTAAAAGCGCAGTAACGGAGCGCTGTAAAAGATGTGTGTCTGAAATATAGCTTGTGAAAACAACCTGTTGAAACACTTTCGAGTGAAGACACAAAGTACCCATAGGACCGTTGCTTGGACACTATTCATGGAAATGAATCACCCAAACGAACTGATTCAATGAGGTGAAACGATTCTTTTTTTAGACAGAGGGGTGATACAAGGGCGGAGACAAAGAAGAAAAAAAGCTTAATTTGCTTATTAATGGAATAAGTCACCTAAAAATTAAAATCTGTTGAAAATTGACTTACCAAAACAGGCAGATTTTTGCTTCAGAAGAAGTTAATTGATAGACTGGAGTAGTGTGGATTACTATGTTTTTATCAGCTGTTTGGACTCTCATTCTGACTACACCCATTCACTGCAGATAATCCGTTGGTGAGCAAGTGATGTAATGCTACATTTCTCCAAATCTGTTCCAATGAACAGCTCATCTACATCTTGGATGGCCTTGGATGAGTACTTTCAGCAAATGTTCATTTTTGGGTAAACTATTCCTTTATTAAGCAAATGTAATCACTTTGCAAGCACTGTAATAACATTACCCTTACAAAAACGTTAGCGCACCTAAGGCTGAATTACTTACAAAACACAGTGTGAACAAAGTCTGCTTGGAGTTTAATTAATTTCAGAAGAGTGTGTAGATGAATATAAAGTACTAGGGATTTCCTTATAATGCTCACCTTCCCTGTATACACTTAAATGCACGTAAACACTCCGGCTATAGGATTCTGCTAAAATATAACACCATGTAATGAACTGTAAATGTGCTTTGGGGCTCCAAAAATATTTGACTAAGCTGACAATTGTATTGTACTTTAAATTAATTTTTTTTATTTTTTAAGCTTCTTAAAATTTAAACCTCATTCTTCACCTGAGCTAACACATAAATCAAAATCAAACAATGCATGGATATTATAAATTAGTTTATTGAAAAAAAAAAAAGGTAAAAAATATTGTATATTTTGTACATTTGTAGAAGCAACTGTAGATGGAACTTGTGCATCCGCTCATTGAGTCAGACAGTACAGTAAGTATAGATGACATGGCGGGCCATTTCCTTATTACCACTCGATTGGTAAATAAGAGATAGGTTGTAGGCAATTTCTCTTCTCAAGTCCACTTGATCATCATCAATCCCCTTCAAATGACAAGAGAAATCATTTACATTTCACAAAGCATTTAAAAAAACCTATTAATACATGGATAAATATACATATATATACAGCACAGAGTCTATGAATGTGTCTCTCGTGCTTTAAAAATCTGGGAGGTCTCTGTGATTATTTACGGATGCATGTTGGATCAAACATATATTAAATTGAAAGCATCTTACCTCCAGTTTGAGTGGGGGGAGGGTGAGGGCTTTCTCATAGTAGTGAATGGCTAAATGACTGAGTCCAAGCTGGTGTAAAGCCCGACCAATATTATACAGAGACTCTTGACAATGACCTCTGAGATCCACATAGTGCCACAGGAATGAGAAACCCTGACAAACATCCAAAATATGTGATATATACGCATACACACTAATTAATCTATCTATCTATCTATCTATCTATCTAAAGAGGGATGTCTGGTTGGCATCTCATCTCATCATTACGTATTTATTAATACTACTATTCTTGAATTTAAAATATACTCCAAACATACTAACATTTGCATTAAAAAAATAAAGCATATTTTAAAACTATTAAGAGTTTTTGCATCGTGCCATTATTTTCATGACAATCAAGCACATTTAAAATTCTCATTACAACATGTCTGGGCAATAAGACACACACATACATAATAAAATGCTTTTTAAATTAGCAGTAAATGAAAGTGTAAAATGTATAAATATTAAAATAAAAAAATAATACAATAAATAATTTAAGAATAAATCATATAATATATAGAACAGAACTTTTATTTATAGAACTTTCTGATTGCAAAACATTTTTTCTCTTTCATAATTTTCTTGCATGTTCTAGAAAGCTAACTTTGGAGGAAATTTCAGCAACTTTGCTTTCAAAAGTAGCTAGTTTAAAAAAAACACACACACATCATACTGTACCTGCACAATGAGTGGATGCCTTTTCATGACAAACCTCTGACAGGCCATATGGAAGAATGTGAGACCGACAACCAAACTATGAAGAGGATGATCAGGCTGGTTTCTGAACGCTTGCATGTACTGACCTACTCAGTGAAGAGAAAGTATAATAATAATAATAATAATTCCACATTATATACTTAATAGAAATAATAAAAAAATAATAAATTAATTTTAATAGTGCAGTTTCCACCAATTATGCCATATATGACAATGCTCATTCGCAAATAACCTACTCAACTAGCTATGACACACTCATTTGCAATGCCTAGCAATAAGCACCAGAAATGTGGCATAGGAAATGTCTAAACCATACCGAGTGCATGTTTGAAAGTCCCAGAAACCAGCGAGGTGTGTCCATTGAGAAGGTAGAGCGCAAGGTTATCAGGGTGTTTGAGCATAAGACGCAGACAGAAACGATGATGTCTGGCATCCTGAGAGTGCAGGGTAACCTGATTAAACACGTTCCACAGCTGAGTCCGGTCCACATTGTCCATTAACATCAACCTGCAACAGATGGAATACACATAAAGTACTTAAAGACAAGTTCTCTATTGAGAAAGAACCCCAAACGGTCACTTAAAGCCGCTTCTCAATCAAATAAATAGCACTTTGCAATCAAATAATGAAACATTCAGCCTCAAACTTTGATTTTCAACTCACTGTTTCTCAAAGAGAGCCATTCCTTAGACTTGAGCTTATCATGAGTTTTACACATGTCCTGCCCCTTCTGCGATTATGTGTGCAGTATTTCAGTTTTGTTTAAAACGCAGAATCCCACATTTTCCACCAAAACTGTATTTATTTTGGTGGTAAATATAGGATTCTGTGTTTTAAACATGATATTCTGTATTTTATGTTTTAAATTGAAATGTATATACATATAACAAAAATAAACAACAATAAGAAAAAACTCTAAATCTATATATGCACATGTAATCAGTTAAAAAATAATAAAATAATGCTAAATAAAAACAATAAACAAATTAGTGGACGATGCAGGATTAAATTCACCAAAATACTGTATAAACAAGCACACAAATCTGATTTGATATATACATTTTTGATTTTATATTTTTTAGGAAAAGTAAGATTTTCCTAAAAGATATGTATAAATTAATCAGTTTTCATAAACAGAATAAAGGACATCATCTTAAAAACAAAGAAATCATGCATTTTAGAAATAGAGCAAGTTAAAATTTGGTGCAAAATGCAGGATTCTGTGTTTTAAACATGATAAATTATATTACCCAAAAAATAAATTCAATCAGCCAAAATACTGCATAAAAGAAGCAAGAAGCAGAACATGTGTAGAACTTTGTAAATGACTTTTTGATTCATTGACTGGTTTTATTTAGGATGCCGTTTATGTAGACAGATTTAGCATCCAGTCGACTGACCTTATATAGTCATAAGCTTTGCGGAAGTTGCGGTCGAGGAAGGCGGCGGACAGGCCGAGGTATTCTAGCTCTTTGCGCTTCACGCGGTCGTCGTAAAAAGAGTAGTACTCTAAAGTGGAGTCCACTAATAACTCGGCCTCAGCAAAGCGCTTCACCTCACACAGAATGGCCAAACAGCGCAGTAACAGCTTCCACCAGTCGTCTCGAGACAGGACACTCGTCTTACCTTAGCGAGAAAGACACTGTGATATTCAGGCAGATGTGGTTACATCAGCTGAAAAGGTAAGATGCTTCAAAGAGGAGCAAGTAATTGCATTTTGATTCAAATTGACAAAGACCTGTTGACTTTAAAGAACCCACATCTCTGTTTTAGTCTCTCTAAAGCTGGTTTAATTTCAAGCAACTGTTGCGGGGTTGTAGTATGTAAATATTATTGATCGTACAATTCATTATGTGATCTTAAAGTCCTAGGACAGCAATTTGAAGGCAATGGCACAATGAATGAGTGTTACTTTAGTTAAATCTGGTTGCGTTACCTGTCACATCCAGATAAGCTGCCTCCTGGTCAACAATCTCTGTCTGTTTTCTGCGTGACACTTTTATAAGCTTCAGATGTTTGACACCAGAGGACGTATCTGAGATGACACACACCTGAGCCCTCACCATCGCCACCTTCACAAAACAGAAAACACAACCACATCACAAACCTCCTATGAAGAGAATCAATTTCATTAAAAATGTCAAGTCTCCTAAACCTGGTAGTCAGAGAATAGGAATGAACTACTAGCTCTTAAATAGTGGTTGACTACAAACATTAGCTGGGTAATCGATTATACATTGATTCAATTGAATACAGGCCAATTAATCAGATATAGTTTGACATAAACTGATTATTATTTAGGTATAGATGATATATGAGAAATATGGTATGCCTATATCAAACTGAATCTGATAATATAGACCTGTACCTAATTAACTGGTTGATTCAATGTGACATATGCCAATTAATGAAAAATAGTCTGATCAGATAGACACAACATACCTAGAGCTACAAATATTGGCCAATTTAATGGTTACAGCCCAATATGGGCCAATTCTATTTTATGAGACTATTATAGTCTGATATAGGGTGATAAATAAAATATAAAATATTTTAGAAATGAACACATATTAACCATTTATTTGAATACAGACAGATAAAAGTTTGGATTAATCAGATACAGACCGATGTACTGTACCAGTGAGTACTGGTCACAAATGTCAGTCAAGTTGTAAGAACTTAAGAGTAAATATGTAGAATTCAATACCGCTCAAAAGTATGGGGTTAGTAAGTTTTTTTTCAATACTTTTATTCAGCAAGGATGCATTAAAGGGGTCATATGATGCGATTAAAATTTTTCCTTAGAATAAATTACATTTTAAAATATATTAAAATAGAAAAGAGTTATTTCAAACTAATAATATTTCACAATATTACTGTTTTTATCGTATTTTTGATCAAATAAATACAGCCTTGGTGAGCATAAGTGTCTTCTTTTAAAAACAAAAAAATCTTAGCAACCCCAAACTTCTGAACGGTAGTGTACATTCTAATTTCAACTCATTTGTGTACATCTCTGCCAGTATGCTGCTCTCTTAATATCACCATCAGACATTAAGCACAGTCAGATTCTGACCTTAAGTAGCATGGACAGCATGGTAAATACAGTATCAATGTAATCATCAGTGCGTCCTTGAGCATGCAGAAGAGTCGAGCGATGCAGCAACAGCTTCAGTTCCTGAAAAACATCACACATATAATCATACACAAGCTCAACCCTGTGTCTACACCATAAGCACGAGACTATGACATAAACACACCTGCTGGGCAGCTGAAGAGTCCTGTGCGAGGGTTTCGGCATCATACATGGGCTCCAGGGCCTCGAGGGCCATGTTGGGTCGTCCCAGCTGCTGCTGGAGGGTGGATAGGGCCAGACGAGCGTCTAGATGCAGTGGAGCCATTTCAACAACCTTACTGTAGCTCTTTACTGCAACTTCCAAATGACCAAGCGCCTTTAGACACTCTACAAACAAGAAAATCACAATCAGATTACTATTTCCTGTCCAAGTAGGTGGTTCTTGGCCAGAATAAGACATTTTACTATTATAATCACAGATTTTTTTCATTTCTTTTCCAAATTTACCTGCATGCCGGAGCCAAACAACTGCCAGGTTATATCTCTCTGAGCAGACGAGGGCGGAGAGCAAAGGTAGGGCGGATTTATATTCGCCCTCTTCCATAAAAGCCTCGGCCACGTCCAAATACAAATCGCCCAGCTCCTCCGGGCTCTGCTCCATCAGAGACGTCAGCATGGGCTGCAGACAAAATGTCACAGGCGAGAAAATCAAACGTGGATGACTCATCTGTCATCACATTTATTCTTGACTTGACATTTATTCTATCATTTGGAAGAGGTCATTTGTTCATCTTCAATGTTAAAATGTTCCCTTCTGAATGTTAAAACAGCATTCATCAGATATTTGTGAATATAAAATAAACACAAATATGATGCTTGAAATAGAAAGAGATGGTTTGCAGATGATATGTTTTTACAAGTGTCTCCAACCATATTTAATGCAAGGTGACAAAGATGTGGAAAAACAAAACTGATCAGAAACCAACAACATTACTTGGAAATCAGTTCTATAAATGAGAGCTTGTGTATATGTGTATAAATGTACTTACATCCAAAGGTTTGATGACGTGCTGGTGGATGAGACACACCATCATCTTGACTCTGATGTCGACTGGAACATCATCAGGAATCACCACCTCTAAGATTTTACCTATGCATTTAAAAACACGTCATTAATGTGATCATAATGCTTTTCTCTGATAAACAATGCCATTATCAGCCTAGTCCTGCCAAACTAAACTCTAAACTGCAAAATATATGAAGTACACAATGATTAGAAGGAAAAATATTATTATTATTAAACATTTATTTGTTTATTTTGATTATTATTATTATAATAATTGGTACCGTGTGGTACAGAATTACACATTATGACAAAACATTCATCTCTTTCGTCTCACCTTTTTCCTCTTCAGAGCTTTTTTTCTTCTCTTCTCCTTCTGTATCTTGTGCGGGCGTCTGGTCACCCGTCTGCGTCTCTGTCTCCTCCTTCTCCTGTCTTTTCAGAATGATGCCACAAAACTTCACCAGTGCCTACAGACGCATACATTTTAGCATTTACATTGAAATAAATACAACAGAGGGAAAAGGGTGATCCAATTAGAACCATCTTGCATCTAGTGTGAATTATGACAAGATATTTCTATATTCAGAACCTCTTAATCTATTACTAGCGCAGCTTATTAAGCAAAATATAATAAATAAAAGATTATGTGTGTATATTACATCACTTTTTTGTAAACATTTTGTTAATTTTATTGCAGAATAATACATTTTAATTATTTAACAATTCAGAATTAATATTTACATTTCAAATAATAACAATAATAATACAATTTTTTTTTTAATTAATATTAATAAAAAATAATAAACTGGAGAATAATTACAGAATACTAATTTTATGCATCAAGTGTGCATTATAACATAAAATGTTTATTCAGAACTTTTCATTACTATAGTAGTTTGCAGCTTTGAGCAAAACATAATTCATTATGCACTGACTCATTTGTCTATATAATACTGGATCAAAATGTTATATTTTCACTTTTTTGTAAACATTTTATTGTAAAGAAAATACACAGTAATTATTTAACTTAATTCAGCACTGATTTTTATATATGTTTCAAATAATCTTTTTACTTAATCATACTTTTTCATGAAGCTTGTCTTTTTCACTTACAGAACCATTTTAATATGCCATTGCTGTATTGCTGAATATTAACATAATGGCTTTAGCTACAGAATTTTGAGATTACCAGCAGATAACTGTGCCTAAATGACAGTTACATTTCTATATAATGGCATCATATCAGTCAACTGCCGCCCTGTCCTGCTCTCTACATTTCGGTATTGGCCAATGAAAATCCTGCAAGTCTTTTCTGAACTCACCTCTAGAGCTTTGTCATGTTGGTGGTTGGCTATGAAGAGTTCAGCGGCCATGTTGACACACTCATGTGAGACCAGTTCAGGATGTCTCTCCAGAGCTTCCACCATGACCCCAATAGCGGACGGCAACTCGCTGCTCTCATAGCAACTCCTGAAATAAACACATGCACAGTTCTGGGGTTAAAACTATCAAAGCAGAGATATGCACTATATGGCTTTGATGGCACAACCATGAGCTCATTAACATGCCAACATTTACATATAAACACCAATTTACATCTGAACATCTAATCATAACAGAGGCCACTTACATACAGTGTGTCAAGTCCTAAAGGTACAGCAGCAAAAACGGTTTATTATTAAGGGTCAGCAAAAGGGTGGAATATCATGAAACAAATTATGGTGCAAACAACCTTTACATAAGATTTCGAATAAACTGTCATCAGATATGAGAGCCTCATACTTCGCCATGTCTCGTGAGAGCTGCATGAACTGTTCTCCATCGGATGGTGGCAGCAGGCTGAGGATGCGGCGATACCCATCCATGGCCTGCTTGTGCTCTCCGACCTGCTCATAAAGGCTCGAGCGCTCCCACAGGTACTGAACATTACTGGGGTCATATTTAATCGCTGGGGAAAAAAAAAAAAAACAGGAGACATCATGTGCTTTAGACACATTTTGTGCTAGACACACTTCACAAAGGCATCTCAGTAAATTAACATCTGCTGAAATATAGTCATGTGATTGACTGTTAGTAAACAGTGATACACTTTATCTCACTTTTTAATAAAACAAAAAAATATTAATTAATAGTATCTAAAATAGATGATTTTAGATAAAAAATAAAAACCATTGTTTTGCTGAAAAAAAAAAAAATTACTAATCCAATAAACATTACAAGAACCCAGGCACGTTTTTGACCTATACATAAAAATATTGTGTTTTGCAGATGCTGGTAGTTAAAAATGGACTTAGAGGATTTTGTTTTATTATCACTGTAACTAACTTCATTTACATTGTATTATAGTTTTAACTTTCTATCTATTCTATTTACTAATATAAATTCAATAGCCTACCGAACGCTTCAAGTTCCGAAACAAACCCCATTCGATGAAGAAGGTACGTAAGAACACATGTAACACACATACACACACATAGAGAGAGAGAGGGTTATAAATGTACTCACGAGTGGAAGACGACAACACGCCGGCAGAACAGTGGAGCAAAAACAATAACCAGATCATCTTACGAAATAAGTTCGCTTTCTTTCTTTTAGTTACAAGAGTGTATTTGGACTATTTGATCCACGCATGCCACACCGAGTCCAGCTCCAGTGCACCCGAAGAGTTGATCCCAGCGTCAGTTCCTGAGCTGCTGGCGTCTCGCGGATGTTCCAGAAGACTGAACTTTAAAGAATATCCGTCAAATGTTCTGTTAATGCCACGGTGCATTCGTCCTCTTCATTTACTTTTGGCATCGTTTACCGTGCTGAGGCTCTCCACTGCTAGGAAACATCCAAGTTTATACTTTGCAAGCTCCTCCCATGTCTTCCCACACAGTTCCAAGTCATTTTTGCCTCTTTCGTTTTATTCCTCCCTTCCTTCTGTCTGTGCCCTCCTCTTGTCTCGAGCAGGTCTTGTATCTAGAACAGTGTAATATCTATTTCCTGGTGAATCCCGACGTTTTAGCCTACCTGTGGGCCAGAAGAATCTCTTTAATGGGAAATCTTACCTTCAGCCTTATTATGGACAGTCATTTAAGGTTGAACATTCTTTGACAACTGACTGGAAGAAGTAACAATTGATCTCACCTTCTGTACCCCTTGTCTCTGACATGTCTGTTATACGTATTATAATTATATTGGAACAGAATGGAATAAAGGGAGATAATGTGACTCTAAATATTATTTTCTATATTCCAAATGTTCTATGGAATATAAAAAGAAAATGTTATTTTGATTATATTTTTATAGCATTTTGCCAATTGTTTTGATACGAAAAAAGTGTAATAAACAATTATGTAATATATCATTATCTAAAATAGATGATAGATAGATAGATAGATACATATATATATATATATATATATATATATACACACACATACTACTTTCAAAAGTTTGAGGTCAGTAAGATTTTTTTTAAATTACTATACTATATATTGTATATATTTCATTATTAGAAAAAATATTTATATTTCAAACTGAATGCTGTTCTTTTGAACTTTGTATTCATGAAGGAAACCTGAAAAAAATGTATTATGGTTTCCATAATTATTATTATTTTTGTGGCCCAATAGAACAATACATAGTAATAAATAGCTATATTCACCTACATAAATGCAGTGCGTTTTTTACTCAATACTTATTTCACTCACTGAAATGCAAATCAATTTCTAACATTTATATAATGTGTTTTTTTCTGGATTTTTTTGGTCGGTATTCTGTCTCTTTTCGTTAAAATAAACCTACCATAAAAATTACAGACCCTTAATTTCTTTGTAAGTGGGCAAACTTACAAAATCAGCAGGGGATCAAATAAATATTTTCCCCACTGTATGAAGCAGCACAACTGTTTTCAACAATGATAATAATAAGGAAAGTTTCTTGATCAGCTAACTATTATTTCAAACTGTAATAATATTTCACATTATTACTGATTTTAGTGCCTTTTTAATCAAATAAATTCAGACTTGGTAAGCATAAGAGACTTCAAAAACATTTTAAAAAAATCTTACCGACTCCAAACTTTTGAACGGTAGTGTAGATATGTGTATATACCTTTAGTGTAGCAGATGATGGCTTGTTTGATGTTGTCCTGCTCCAGGGACATGTCTGCCAGTTTGACCCACTCCTCCCAGTCACTGGGGTTCAGATGAGCAGCGATCAGTCCGAACTGCAGCGCTTTCTCCATATCCCCCTTATCCTCATAGATCATAGCCAGCGTGGAGAATGGCTCGTATGCCACAGGAGCTGAGAGAGGCGGGAGACGGGGTTCATTCTATGACACAACTACAATTAAAACACTGTGGCTCTGTTTGTTCAAGTGACCTACATCAACTTTTGATTATCGCACTAAGGTATTTTACACCCCAAATAACTAAAACAACAAAACTCACCTTGGCGAATGATCTCCATGCACATCAGGATGGCATCCTCCTTTTCTCCTCTAGCGTAGCGGATGTTAGCCTCTCCCATGAGTCCTCTGAGAGCCCGTGGCAACTTACTGCGGTGATGCCTCTCCTAAAAAATAATGAAGCTAGCATGCTTAGAAATAAACTGGAAATTTGATCAATACTACAAAATCATCATGACCAGTAATAGTGATTATTAATGCGTATAGGTGTTAAAGCAAAAAAAAATAAAAATTACTAACTTATTAAGCAAAATACAATGAATTAATTCAATTTTAACTAATTGTTATATATACACTTTTTTTTGTAAACATTTTATTAATTTTATTTCAAGAAAGTACACATTATAATTATTTAACTTAACTCATCATTGATATTTTCTTTTTTATACATTTCAAGTAATAATACGAAACTAAAAATAAAACAAACGGATTAATTAATCATATAAACCTCCATGTATTAAAATGATTCATAAGTAAATTGTAGAATATTAATCATAACTAATCATTACAATAATAATTTTATGCATCAAGTGTGCATTTTGGCATGTATATATATGAACAGGGCCTAAAATTAACACTCGCCAAACGCCAAATGCGAGTAAAAATCGGCTTTGGCGACTATATGAAACTGTGTCAGTCGCCAGATGGCCGGTAACATTTTTAGAAATTCTAACAGTGCAATGTTGTGAGAACATAAACGTGCACAAAAGTGAACGACGCTCCGTACAGTTGACGGGTCAGTGCTGCTTCATCACAAAAGTGTAAGCCTTTGCAATGTAAATATTCAAGAGCTAGAACACATGAAAGGAGACGCGTTACTCGCGCTGAGTGGGAAGTTTAAACATCTGAAAGCCGCGTCTTGAGCTCTGCTTCCTTCCTGCACTTGAACGGACAAATTCACACAAAATTATGTCAAAAATGCACGTCTCAGTGAGTATCCTAGTAAAGTAGTTGGTTCTTAAGTGAACATGAACAGCTGAGAAAGAAACCAGACACAAACCGCGCGCGACACAATGTGTCACAAGACAATAGAACCCATTATAATCAGAACAACTGACTATTTACTAGTCTTTAAAAATGTAGCCTATTAAATTTATATTGGTTAAGCTAGTAGTTTTAGCAGGTTTCGAAACTGGAATCAAGGATTGTGATTTTTTGCTATTATCTAAAATATTGGTGTCATAACTGCCTGTTTTTTTTTTTCCATGGCTGGTAAAAAATATTTCTGGCCAGTAAATTTCCTTAAGTCACCGGCCATTGGCAGGTCTGGCAAAAAGTTAGTTTTAGGCCCTGTATATGAACGTTATAGCAAAAAAAAAAGGAGAGGATATTTCTTATATTTCTTTATTCAGAAACTTAATCTATTACTAGAGTAGTGCCCAACTTCAAGCAAAACATAATAATAAAATCAATTACTCATTTTTGAAATTATTTAGATCAAAATGTTATATATATATATTTTTTTTTTTGTAATTATTTTATACATTTTATTGTAATTGATTATTAATGCTGACCTAGCAGAGTGATCTACTGACCTTCATAATTTTCTTGTTCTCACGGTTCAGCTCCATTTCAAGGGCGAACACATCTCCGGGTGTGACTTCATTTCTGTCATTGTCCTCTTCTTCTTCATCATCATCATCATCGTTGTCGTCGTCATTATCTCCATCCTCCTCTCCAGTGTCTCTCCAATCCATCTTTCCATCTTCATCATTTTCACCCTCCTCCACACACTCCTCCAGTCCCTCTCCGATCATGGACGCAAAAGCTTTCTGAACAGATGGACTGACTCCCTCTTCTGTCGTCTCTGTCAGAGATCACACAAAATACAACTTGTGATGTGATGTTGTGTCACGCTGAATATTGATTCCCACCTGCCTCATTCAAATGCTCTTGATACATTTGACATACGAGCAAGAATATGAAACTAAAACCTATCTGATCTAAAAGCAGTCAGTCAACCAAGCAATTTAGGATTTTGGTATAAAAACATACACTACTGTTTAAAAGTTCAGGGTCTGTAATTTTGTTTTTATTATTATTATTTTTTTTTTGAAATACTTTTATTCAGCAAATCTGCATTAAACTGATCAAAAGCGATGGTGCAGATATTTATAATGTTACAAAAAGATTTAATTCAAATAAATGCTTGTCTTTTGAATTTCTATTCATCAAAGCATCCTGACAAAAAAAAAATCGCAGTTCCCACAAAAATATTAAACAGCAGAACTGTGTTAATAATAAGAAATGTTTCTTGAGCAGCAAATCAGCATATTATGATTGCTAAAGGATCATGTGACACTGAAGACTGGAGTAATGATGCTGAAAATTCAGCTTTGCCATCACAGGAATAAATTACATTTTCATTACTGAAATTACTTATTAAATTACTGAATTTTCAACATCATTTTCAATATATTCAAATAGTAAACAGTTCCTTTAAATAGTAACAATTTCATAATGCTGTGAAACCTTTATGTTTCATTTATAATTACTTATTAAATTACTGAATTTTCAACATCATTTTCAATATATTCAAATAGTAAAGAGTTCCTTTAAATAGTAACAATTTCATAATGCTGTTCTTCTCCCCCCCCTAATAAATTCAGTCTTGGTGAGCGTAATAGACTTCTTTCAAAACATTAAAAAATACCAACCCCAAACTTTTTAATGGTAGTGTAATTTATGTCCAATTTAACACTGATTCAATAAACATGTCCAATATTCTGAAAATGTTCAGTTCTATTTGTTCTGTATGCCTTCTAGCATATGTTTAGACTACCCTTAATAAATGCTTTCTAATAATTAGTGTTTTTCAGCTATTTGCCACACAAATCTCTTCTTCCTATAACACACATAAACCGAACACTGCATACACTTTCTCAACTGTATTATTAAAGATATATAACATAATGATAATTTATATCATATGTATTCATTTGTAATAAGGCAAAGTGTCTATTCCAATCTACAAGTACAGTATGCATATTATATTGAAATTTATAAGGCAGATTTTTGGTTTCAAAATGCATGTAGAATTATCTAATATTTCATGAATTAATTTAATATCTAATTTTGCTTTGTGGGCATCTTGTAATGTAGTAAATATTTGGCCGGTTGCAAAAACTGTTTAGACTAGTCTTGCAAATTAGTCATCTATTTATTTACTTTTTTTTTCTTCAAGACTGTCCATAACTTCAACTCAGTTATATAAAAATGTAGATTAGTCTACTATGAATCCGTTAAGCAAAGCTGGTTACTAGTTCTGAAGACATTCAGAACTAGTAACATAAAGGTAGTGGCTGTGTTGTTTATGCAACTGGCCCATTGTAATGCCAGTAAAACCTTGGTGAAGCTTCATAAGAATATCTCATTATAACTTTTTACCCTTTTCACCTGTAGTGTTGCTACTGGCAGGTACAAAAAGTACCCTGGTATTACTACGTAATATCCACCTGTTTGGCGTTTCCGTGTTCCTCCAGCGCTTCGTTTTGAAGTGGACGGAACTGCGTCTTCCTCCTGATCAGCAGATCCATCATCATCTGACACATCTCTCTTCTCCTCCTGGAACACAACGTGTGTTACATGCTACTCCAGAACACTTCAACAATACCATGGTGCATTACTATAGGGCATGTCCAAATAATGGGTTAGCGGATATATCATTATAATAGATTGCATAATCAAACACATATTACAGGTATTTTTATATATGCTGAATGGAGAACGTGGACCACATTTACAAACGGAGTAAAAGCAGTGTATTACCTTATCCTTTGCTTTTCTTTCCTCTCTCCGCCTTTCAAAATCCTCGAAAGTAATCTTACCTTCTAAATAATCATTCAATTCGGACATTGTACAAAAATAATTAAGTTTACTCTTTCATGTCACATACAGTATAAACAAAACCGATGTACTGCATGAGCACTGTCTGTTTCTGCGCTTCTGCCTTTCAGCCAATCAGGGACCTCGAATTTTTCTTCGACTGTGAGCGAAACACAACCACAGATGACGTTATTCCAAAAGATCCACATCGCCATCAAGCGTCTCTAAGTTATATAGGGCAGTCCAGATTTATCGTGGTAAACCCTAGGGAAAATAATTAGATGCATTTTCCCAGCGTCTTACCTGGGCTGTGGAGAAAAAGAACTGGACTGTTGCTCAGTGGTCCAAAGTCCTCTTTTCAGATGAAAGTAAATTTTGCATTTCATTTTGAAATCAAGGTCCCAGAGTCTGGAGGAAGAGTGGAGAGGCACAGAAACCATGTTGCTTGAAGTCCAGTGTGAAGTTTCCACAGTCAGTGATGATTTGGGCTGCCATGTCATCTGCTGGTGTTGGTTCACTGTGTTTTCTGAAGTCCACAGTCAACGCAGCCATCTACCTGGAAATTTTAGAGCACTTCATGCTTCCTTCTGTTGACAAGCTTTATGGAGATGCTGATTTCATTTTCCAGCAGGACTTGGCACCTGCCGACACTGCCAAAGGTACCAAAAGCTGGTTCAGTGACCATGGTGTTACTGTGCTTGATTGGCCAGCAAACTCGCCTGACCTGAACCCCATAGAGAATCTATGGGGTATTGTCAAGGGGAAGATGAGAGACACCAGACCCAACAATGTAGATGACCTGAAGGCCGCTATCAAAGCAACCTGGGCTTCCATTACACCTGAGCAGTGCCACAGGCTGATTGCCTCCATGCCACGCCTTATTGATGCAGTAATTCATGCAAAAGGAGGCCCAACCAAGTACTGAGTGCACAGAAATGAACACACTTTTCAGAAGCCTGACATTTCTGTTTAAAATATCCTTTTTTTTATTGATCTTATGTAACATTCAAATTTTCTGAGACACTGAATTTTGGATTTTCATTATCCATAAATAATCATAAAAATTTCAAGAAATAAAGGCTTGAAATATTTCACTCTGTGTGTAATGAATCTATATATGGGTTTCACTTTCTGAAATGAGTGACAAAAAATATTGACCTTTTTCATGATATTAAATTTTTTTTAGATGTACCTGTATGTATATATATATATATACACACACCCATATGTATATATATGTATATATACACTTCATATTCATTCTTCCATTAGTTTCAGTTTGTTTTTCACTTGGTGTTAGAGGAAAAATACATAACTGTACAATATTGATATTATACATCAACAAATATGTATCCTGTATCTATCTCTGAGTAAGATCAAAATGTCCTTCAAGCATGAGGGAAAACTGAATGCTACAGAACTGCACCCTTAGGAACAGTTATGAAATTCACTCTGCTTTTGGACTGTTGTTCGGTATTTCCTGTGTTCCAGTGGGTTCCTGTACAGGAAATATGAGCTTCTGTAGCATCTCAATCGTTTCTTCCTCAGTTTTAGAGTTGAGCTCAAGGACTGGAACCTAAACGGGTGAAACATATGAGGAATATTATTGAGAATGCAAAATTGAAAACCAGAGCTTGAATGGTTGGCTAAATCTCTCCAGTTGTTCATGACAAGCAGTCAATACTGTTATGATTACCATATTTACCATATATGGTATTTACATGGCACTCCAAGGTATTTCAAAGAACACCATAATATTACTATGATACATGGCATAAAAACAGTGTCACATATTAAAAACAACAATATTCATCAACAATATATAGCAAAAATATCAGGTTTCTGGTATCAGATATCAAGCATCAGGTTTTGGTGGGATTTAGTATATCAGAGGAATTAAAAAGAAATTTACCAAAACAGGTTTATAACCAAGTTTTTCAAGATGGCGAAGTTTGATAGCCAACCTGGCTCGAGGATGTGTTGTACCAAAGCAAAATGAAGTGGGTGGGGAGCCGAACACTGCAATCCTAAAATAAAAGACAGAGAAGAGCTGTTAAATTTGTCTGCAGAACTACTTCAACATACAATCAGCATCTAGGTATGTGAGATCAGCATGCGATTCTTCATATAAACATCACAGCTGTCTTGTCTTGTCTCGTGTTTTACCTTTGGGCACATTCCTCTGCCTCGAGGCCACTGGTTTCTTCTGTTTGATGAGGCAGAGTAATCACACAGTCTAAAGCAAAGACAAGACAAAGTTTCAAACGACACGTGCACACAAGTTATTCAACATGAAATGCAACAATATATTTAAAAGCCATAATGACATGTTTCTGAGTAAAATAAATTATTCAGTGGGAAATGTATGGAAGGATTTGATTGTGAAGTAAGCTATATTAGCTTGTTAATTGTCATAATCATTTTAATATTATGTAATTAATATATAATATACATTAAAAACCAACTGATTTGCCTTTCTATGATTCTAGTATTTGTTAGTTATTATATAATTATATTTATTATCATCATTATCGTTTATTTCTATTCTATTTTGCTTACTTATTTTATTCTATTCAAACATTTATTGTTTTATTCTAACTGATTTTTCTTATTTTTGTTGCTTGTACTTTGTGTCAATAACTTGTTTACGCTTGTAAAGTACTTTGTATTGCATTGGACATCTTAATGATGCTAAAAAGCTTAATGTTTTAATTATGCAAAATATAAGTTCTGGTTTTCAACCTTTTGATTTTGGGGTAAATTTGACTTGGACACGGTTTCTTGAGTTTTTTTTTTTTTTTTTTTTGGTCCATCACTTGTAAAACACTTTAAAATGCATTTGAATTTATCTGAACAGCGCTATAAGTTTTATTGCTTGATTAATATAATATTATTAAATATTAAATTATCAAGACTGGAGTAATGATGCTGAAAATTCAGCTTTGTCATCACAGGAATACATTTCATTTAAAAAAATGTTAAAATAGAAAAAAAATCATTTAAATTGTAATAATATTACAGTTTTAACTGTGTTTTGATCAAATAAATTTAGCCTTGGTGAGCATAAGACATTCAAAAACATTAAAAATCTTACCAACTCCAAACTTTAGAATTTTTTATTATGCAAATTATCATTTCTTGTTTTTAACCTTTCAATTTTGGAGAAAATTTTACCCGGACATTTTTTCTTGATATTTATTTTGTGTCAATCACTTGTAAAGCACTGTAAATTGGATTTGTTTGAAAGGTGCTATATAAATAAAGTCTGGTTGTCTGATTAATATAATAATATTAAATATAATAATAATAATAAATTCACCGATGAAATAAATGCTCTGCTCCAGCACACTGTCCTGAACAGCATCAGTTCCCACAATGCTCCTGACTGCACTGAGCACTTCCTGGTTGACTTTGACCTCATGAGCAGGAACTGTGATGTGGAGGTCTGGCACTGAGGTCAGGGAGGGCGGCAGCTGAGGTTTATCCAGTCGCAAACACAGATCCAATGTGTGCAGCCACCTCAGAATCTTATCCGACTGTTTGCCTACGAAGACAGGAACAGATCACGGCTGAAATGTGATGTTTTCTGGATGAAGACAGAGAGGAGGTGAAGACACTAACCTTTCTGTAGTAGCTGGTCCAGGGTGTCCTTCTGTAGCAGTTTCTCCAGTGGGGTTCGGGGGAAGTGCTCCAGCAATCCCAGATAGTAGACGGCTTTCAGGAGGTCGGTGGGAGGCATCTTTGGAAGGTAGGACTCCAAGACCATCGTTACACTGGCCATAAACCTAATTAAAAAGCAGCAAGTATAAATGTAAATATTCTTTCTAGTCATTAAAGAATCCTGAATATTAAACAGCACAACTGTTTTCAACATTGGTAATGATAAGAAATGTTTTTTGAGCAGCAAATCAGCATATTAGAATGATTTCTGAAGGATCATGTGATACTAAAGACTGAAGTAATGATGCTGAAAATTCAGCTTTTTATGACAGAAATAAATTACATTTTAAAAAACTATTAGAATATAAAACAGTTACTTTAAATTGTAATAACATTTCACAATATTACTATTTTTACTGTATTTTAGATTAAATAAATGCATCCCTGGCAATCATTAAAGTGTTTCTTAAAACTCTTGTCAGCCCCTAACTTTTGCACAACAGTAATTAAGATTCAAAACAGTGGCTTACTCAGTTTTTTTCTCTTTCAGGTCATGATTAAGGAGCGAAAAGATTTTTAAAACAGAAAGAAGGTCTTTCAGGGTCAGACTGTTGGACCTCTGGATGATTCTCTCTGCAAATGCATCCAACAGGACCACAGGTCTGAACGAGAGATTCTCAAATGTTGCTAGAAGGAGAATCACCTGAAAAACATGACAAAGAATTTAATAAAGGACACAAAACAATACTGCACAGTTCACTAATTCTTATTATGTAATTCATCATAGGCCACTAATAATAAATATACCTCTCTGCTCTGACACTGTAATAGTCTTTGCAACTTTACAGATCTTCTTTATGCACCAAGAGCTTGAAACACTCCAAAGAGAAAGGAAAAATTGAAATCGCATCAAATGACCCCTTTAAAAGGTAGGAATGCACCAATATATTCTGACCAAAGATAGCACGTAATTTAACACATAACGCTGTTTTTCACTGTAATATATTTTAAACATTTAATTTATTCATGTAATGGCAAAGCTGATTGGTAAAGCATCAATACTTCAGTCCTCTGTGTCACATGCTCCTTCAAAAATCATTCCAATATTTATTTTAGAGTGTTGATATTGAGTTGTTGCTCAAGAAATATTTCTTATTAATATCAATGTTGAAAACAGTTGTGTTGCTTAATATATTTGTGGAAACTGTGATAAAAAGTTTTCAGGATCTTTTGTAACATTATAAATGTCTTTATTGTCACTTTTTCAGTGTACTTGCTGAATTAAAGTATTAATTTATTTCCCCAAAAAAATAATATATATATATATATATACACACACACACACACACATATATATATATATATATATATATACACTGTACTGTATAATATATATAATAATATATAAATTGATATATTATTGGGTCATATTGACCCAAAACTTTTGAATAGTAGTGTATATGTATGCTGCTTTATCGGTTTAAAAATACAATTACTAAATGTATTAAGATAAATCATATATTTCAAGTGAAATTAGGCATAAAAAAAAGTCAAAAGTACAGCAAAAAAACATGGGCAATTGTTTGGTC